ATTCATGCGTGGCGGCGCGTGCCGTGCGGCGTCCGTCAATAACTTTCAGGCTTCGCTCAAAGGCCTTGCCGTTCTTCCGTGTCAGTGATTTGGTTTTAAACTTATACCGTGTAGATGGGATTTTTATTTGTGAAAAAAGTGGCAAGTTTGAGTGGCATTCAGAATATTGATTAATTGTGATTCCGAGTGCGTTAACTGCTAAGGTCATTAGTCTTGTACGTGTAGTGCATGTTTTTTGTCGGAAGTTGGCAGTAGTCTTCCCCCGCTGGATGGCCAGTTTCAGCGTCGACCTACAGTAAACTAACAGTGTTTTCCCCAACCAGCAATCTCCCACTAGTCGAGCACCGCCCCAGCTGGATAAGCTCTAAACTCATGAGTAGTAGTGTAGTGCATGTAAGTGTGTACACATCTGGCATTCCTCTTGTGTTGATCGGAGAACCACGGAGAAGTACCGTTCAGAGCAGTCGGCCACTAGAATCTCCTTCAAACAGCGATCGTAGTCTACCTAGCTAACAAGCTAGTGTCGAAAACATCGAGAAGAAACTGTGCGAACAATGCAAATTGTTGTATATGTGTGTGTATGTGTATGTGTCTGAATGTTATGTGACCAAGAAGCAGGAAATTAACATTGCCATTTTAATAAAAAGTTTGTACCAGGCCTATTTCAAGTTAAATTGGGATACGAGGACAAAACGTTTGCTTTAGATATAGTTTGTACAATTCTGTAGAAAATTTAAGAAAGTCGTTCGTACAAAGAACGTGGTTTGTTGAGAACAACGAAATAATTCAGACTTGTAATATTTATCTCAGTAAAGTATCTGGTTAAAATGAGAACTGTAAGGCTGTCATATTCTATTTTATTTTGCCATCATCGGTAAAACATGGACCAAGTGCCACATGGACCAGATGTTCCAATTCCAATACCACTAACAGCATTACCAGAAATTAGTACTAGTTATTCTTATTCTTCGAGTGTTGAAGAACATTATCTAGACAATTTTTCAGAGGTAGAAGATCACACTCCACGACCATTGGCCCAATCCCAATTAAATTATTTGATACGTGACGTGGCTATTTGGAAACAGAAGAGTAAGCGTTTACGTTCCATATTGACATAAAGCAACATTTTATGCATAGGAACGACCTTTGTATAAAGTGTTGGTAACGTAATATGAATTACACGTACATGAGCACGTAACATGATTAACGTAAACATTGGTATAGACATTGGGAAGCACTCAAATACGTATGTGTAAAATAGCTTCAAATTTCGAATTTACCGTAGCGATTAAGTGCATATTTCTTAAAAACGGCTCCATATTTTTAAAATAAATCGGCACTTTAGAACGAGGTTTTATTGTTATTGAATATTCATAAAATAATACTTTGGTTCTATTATTAGGAAACCGAAAAATTAAGAAATTTTCAACAAAAAAAATATTTCAGCGGCGACAAGAGTTTGTGGCAAGATCGTATAGCTAGCTGAAATCAAAGAAAATATATACCTAATACGGGAAAGTCTGTGCCATTCTGTAGCACCACTGCTTTCGTTATGTTTAAGATGTTATATTATACATACGCGGTTTATTGCACACAGCTGTTGATACATACCGCCTTCTAAGATTCATGAGTCGGAGCTTATGATTGGCCAGTAGGTAGAAGAGGCTAGAAAAATCGGATAGAAAAAACGATAAAGCGAGATACTTCGGTCTGATTGGAGCAAATTATATGTTTATTTAAACGCTATTGGTTTTAATTTTACGAGTGGAATAGCCGTTTGAATTGAAAATAATTTACATTTACTAGAACAATTATGTAACAGCTATTAATAGAAAAGAGTATGACGATCTGATAATATGGAAACATATTTCTCCCTTTTTCACAAATTCCATCGCACGATAAAATATTTTTCTATATGGTAATTTAATTTGATATGTGGAACGTTTCGCTAGAGCTAGTGATGAAATATGGAATTCAACAATAAATAAAACGATAAAATTAGGACGGGGAGAAAAAAGCCGCCCCATGAAACCATCAAAATCAGACTAATAAAATGTGAGGTAATATACCACGAGAAATAATATTATGTTTAGTTTTGTCTAAAGTTTTTTTTCGACCGTGTTTTTTAGGCCTATAGACGTTTACTGCATAAAACCATTCCGAAGGAGTTAAAGAAAATACGCTTCTTAATTTCTATTTTGAAAGTTCAGAGGTTCTCAGAAATCAGAGAAGATATTTCTCAGAAATCAAATTGTCCTTTAAAATGCACGGTAAGTATGAGAAATGTGTAATATTTTTTATGAAAATTAGTAACTGTCGAATAATTTCGACGAGATATCTCTCTAGAATGCTGAACTGTTAATAAAAGTTCAAGGTACTAATTGTCGTCATCGAAAGATTTGTTTTAGACATTTGACCACTATTGGAGTTCACATCGCAAAAACGTTACTTTTTATTACGTTGTTGATTTCGCGGGACTCATTATCTGTTAATGTTCCTGTTCTTTACATTCACGCATTACCATTCTTGCCCAACTAACTTCAACCCAAAGCAACAAGGTTAATCTTGTAATATCAGGCTCACACTTCTGGGAACGGGTTTCTTTTCCGTCTGTCTGTTATACTCCTCGATCTGATCTAAGGTTTCGCATTCCTTGTAACTGCAGCCTTCTTCCGTTGACATCGCTATCCCCCTTGCCAAAGGAACCGTCGTAGTCTGAGAACTTCTCTTCTCAAAACTTTCAATATTCTCCTATGTTTTCTTCGATTTCATTTTTCTTTACTTTTTGATCATATTACTTGAAGACTGTCATCCTTAAATGACTTTATCCTGTTTGTCTATGATCGTTTCTTGCTCGGCCCGACTTTGCATCACTTGCAAACGTTGCGGACTGAGAAATCAAAAGTTATATTCTTATAGTTCTTGAATCACATGGTAAACAGGGTTTATGGTAGATTTGAGTGTAAAAGTCACAGTGTTGTTTCAATTATTTTAAAACATTATCAGATCTTCTGTTGGCGCCATTTCGAGAAGATTAAATCGTTGGTCCCCATCATCAGGCTACAATTGAAATAACAACCAATTACTTCCATAAAAGACGTATAACATATTAAACTTTTAAAATATTATCACAAAGTACAAATCGACTATGTGATATAATAATACTAGACTAAGAATAGTTGACAGTCAAAAAAAGGAAAATATTAGTTGTAATATTCACCCACGCTTTCTTCGATTTCATTTTCCTTTACTTTTATCGCATACCTTGGGCACCACTTCGTGGCTTTGTTCTGTTGTGCGCCCGCCGCGCGCATCGCGAGGCGCCGGGGGCCCTCGGGCCCGCGCGTCCCGGGTGCCTAACGAAGGAGACGGGCGTCGCGCGGCGCCTGTGCGCCCGGCGGGCTGCAACCCGCCGAGCGCCAGCGATGCCTGTGACTGCTCCGCGAGCGGCAAGGCGCTGCAGGGAGCAGGTCGGTTTTTAGAAGTGCTCGTTAAAGAGTCAATGCGAGAGAAAAAGCGCCCTTTTTAATGTAGGAGTGAATGGGAAATGTCATTGTATGAGTTAAAAAGGGATTTATACACATCTTTAAAGGGTCAACGCTACCACAATCTCTAAAATGTTCATCATGGAATATTTAAAAATAAATTGCCCAATAGGTAGGTTTAATGAGATATGTTATGCCCACGAAACATGACAAGAAAAAGAACATTAGACTTGATAATTTTAAAACTTTTTTGATACTGGCCACAAAATATTAATTGTAATATTTTTGGTTGCTTTCAGACGAGTAATATATTATAGAAGGAATCTGAAAGGTTACCTGATAAGAATCTCTACAGAAGAATAGTTTTCTAGACTAAGAATAAGTTCATGTAATGTAGAAAGTATGTTTTCATAAATATTCAGTGGTTAAAATTCCTGCGATATTACTGAATAGCTTTAAAATTATTGTTTTTTTAATACCATGCTTACAGAAACAAAACAAAACAAACCTGATGTCAAATTGTATCATGTTTATTTGCGTAAACATTAGAACTCTGAGGTCTAAACTTGAATGCACTTTGAATTTTAAGTATATCCCACAATCCTGGAGAACAATCATAAACCCTCCAACGAAGCGAATACTTAATTTTTCTTATGTAGCCTACTTGCACATGTTCCAACTTATGCCAATTCTTTGATTTAATTTACCATATTCTCAGTTCTTTACCTCTCACAAAACTATTATTTATTTCGAATTTACCAATTTAACTTACACTGTCTTTATACGCAATCTGTTTCTGTTGTATCAGAACAGCATTCTGTGAACAGTGACACAAAATGGTTAAGAGTGTGCAATATACGATACACAAATTTGTTCTGGAACTTTTAGTGGATTATTAATTGCATCATTAGAGATAAATCTCTATTTTATCTCTAATGATTATGTTAATAAAGGACTTTTTTTCAGTTTATATATAACTATTTTTTTAAATAAATACATCTCGTTTTAACCTTAAGAAAGAAGAAACGTTCAAAGTTTACAAGTGTTGTATACTGAATGTTTCAATGGCTATTTTCAAGCAGGAAACAATAAACTGCTAGGGCGAAAAATTATGTCTTTACAGACGTCCTACGACGCACAAAAAATCTGGCACTAACTGGAATTGGAACATGAAAACCTTGGATTTTCATAATTTGTAAAGACAACTAATTCATCTTCTAATATCTTTTTTTAAGCATAAAAATGAAATATTTTTTGAAATTGTCACTGAGTGATAATAATTTATTTTAAACATTTTCAAACAATTAAGCTAAGATATTGACTCCAGCAAGATCATTTAGTGAAATATAATTTTTTTCATTAAAATTTATCATGATGTACATTCAAATTAGTTTGTTAAATATTAATACAAACAGTTCAAATATTTTCACATTCTAACTATTATATCTAAATACAGACTTTTCGCACTCAGAAGCCCAAAGCCATAAATGTCGGCTCTGACTGCTTTGCCCTTAGATCAGTGGAGCGAGCTGGCACGACAAGGGGGCGCGGCTCTTCGTCAGTTCCTGGAACAGACTGCGCTGCCCCACGCCCTACGGCGCTACGGCCTGCTGCCGGAGGCGGGCGGCGGCGGCCCGCTGGGGGCGGGGGCGGGGGCGGCGGGAGACGCAGCCGTGCGGGCGCTTGCCTCTTGGCGCTACGCGGAGGTGGCGGGGGCGGCGGAGGGCGACACAGCGGCGCTGCGCAGTGCGCTCCTGCAGGTGAGCGCTGCTCAGGCTCTCAGTAGAGCGATAATATTAAATAACATGTCACGATTTTAATGTTTACAGAAAAAAATTGGAGCTTTTTTTGTGAAAATCTTGTTTTTGTAATTTTTAAAATTGCACATATTGCTCGCAATATTGCGAGAAAACTAAAATGTTCATAAAAATGTAGATGACCTTAATGAAAGAAATAACTATCGACAACAAATTTCATTTGAAGGAAAAATCTTTATCTTTAATTTTGTACTTGTAGGAAGACGTCAAATTTGAAGAAATCAAATTTTTGCAATTTTCGAAAATTCAGAATTAACAGTGAAAATCAAACCTGCGTCATCTTTATAGCTGTATATTACTCTATTCTTATAAGAAATTTTAAAATAGAATTTGGAGCCGTTTTTGAGAAAATTTTTAAAATGTAAAGTACCCCCAATTTGAAAGAAAGTTTTTCAAAATCTCAAATCTTCTACTCAAACCAGATGGACAATTTTCTTCAATTTGAAAAAAAAAATTCTACGCATGGCTTAGGCGCTAGTAGTGTTCACAGGCGGTAGACGGACAGACAGACGGATATGTGTAATGTCGTGAGAAGATATGCGTTTTGGCCCCGTCCCTGAACTTTCGCTCATATCAGGGCATTGCTCCGTGTTCTCGAATTCCTTTATATGTTCTGTATGTATGTGTACACCGTGTATTATGCTTGTTCTGTGTTATACGTCTGTGTTCCAGTATACTTGTAAGTGAATCTACCTGTTGGTCACCCACCTTGATGACGGCCGCAGATATCGTCATAAGGGGCCTTTAGCTTACGTCACCGAAAGCAGGCTAGCGTCCGTCACCGTGGAGGCCGGTGGTTCGTCTCGTCGTTCTTGCTCTTATGGCCGCAACTCTCTTCAGGGTTTATGCCGCCAGCCGCACTAGGCGGCTTTGAAGTTTTGTATATGAATATTGATATATTGACATAGAGACATGTAGACATTGGTTAATAAAGTAATGACATAGTTGAGTACTTGCGAGGCTCTAATGGAGGTTGAATTGTGAATATCGAATGTCTAAAACTATTTCTGGAATTTACAAATTTTCAAAATGTCCAAAAAGTCTTTCTCTTTAATTTGTAGGTCGTTGTCAGCTGTATCAAATAGAATTCCTGAACTACGCCAGAACGACAGGCAATGCACGGCATGTAGATCACATTCAGTTAAGACAACTGTACGTCTGACATTCCGCATGGACACGTGGGGATGTCTGTTAGGTCTCTTCTGCACAGGTACTCGGAAAAGAATCCACGGCGAGTTAAGAACTGTATTGTTTCTCTCAATGGTTTGAACCATTTTGCCTGTACAGAGAATGAAACATTCGGCACAATTTTTTTTGTTGTTTTCCTCTGTTATGCTTGTCCCACCGCGCTGCCACTCCTTCACAAACGCATCAGCTTATTTTCCCTCGTGTCTTCAACTGCGACTAAAATATTTGCGAAAGTTTCCACAGTTTCCTGGTTTCTTAGAGCGCGTCTTGCTTCACGTTTTCTCACTTTCAGTTCTAGTGAAAATAAACCTGCTAGGATTTCAAGCCTCATGGTTGAGATTGTCCTGTAGACGCCTGAAGCGCCGCGATGCGCTATTTCTATTTTTGTAAGCCCAACTCCGTGTGCCCACACTGCTGCTCCGTAGCCTATGATTGGCAGAAAAGCGCCCTCATAAATTATTTTAAGCATTGGTCTATTTAGTTTTATTAGCCGTTGACTTATGCCTTATTATAAATGTGAGTTTTGGATCCAGCCAGATTCCCAGGTATCTAGCAAGTCTGGTTTCTTTAATGGTTTTCCATCTATTTTGAAGCGAGGAGGAAATCTTATGTGAAAAGTAGGTCCTATTAGAATAAATTCTGTTTTTTAAACTGACAGTTTTAATTTTACGCTTTTGCATCACTTAGAAATTATATGGAGTGGTTTAACTGATCGATCCTTGCAACTTTTCCCCGGTATAACGACTACTAAATCATCCGCATAAGCTATTGCCGTGACTACTGCCTATCTCAAAATAGCAAGGAATTCATCGAAGAGGACATTCCCAAGGATGGTCAATAAACGGACCCCTGCGGACAGCAACGTTCTTTCCTACGAAAGTTCCACTAGCACGAATTCCTGCCGCTCTATCTTTAAATTTGCTGCGAAACATTGCATAAAGATTTCCTCGATAACGTAATTTTCGCAGTCGGTGTAATGAAGCTAGCCACCGACAGTGATCAAAGGTCCCGCAAATGTCGGCAAGGATCACAGCACAATCTTTTTTGCCGGGATTCTGTTGCTTTTAGAAGGGAAATTACAGCATTTTCTGTATTAAAACCATGACGAAAACCAAACTGGTTTTGTTCCCAATGTTGCTTACAGCATAGACAGATGAACGTTTGAAAAAGAAAACTTTTTCGGAATCAAGGGACCCCAAAACGTTTTCCGTTGAAATCTCGAAATCGATTCTCATCATCATTACACAACTTTCCCTATACTACCTATATTACTCTGTATATACGTACGTGTACGGGAAAGCAAAAATCCCATTTACAAGGAATTGGAATAAAAAGTTAATAGAAATAATTAATATTTTTTTATTCTAATTCTAAGATTTGCATTAGCAATTAAAGTATAAGGAAACGATCTTTCCTTTGTAATCTTATACATAACCATCCTGTATGATGGCCACGAACTGGATGGCTCACTCGTGACTATGTCTCTTCGAAGAAGTATTGTGGACTCCCTTTTGAATATTGAACTGGCATCATTGAAAATGAATACATACTTTTCGTTTTCCGCATTTGTGTAATAGCGAGCATTGTGACAGAAATCGTGCCCAGAGAGCTGTCCTAAAAAAGGATCAAAGCCCATACTCGAAAGTAGGATGGGATACCGCGTCTGTCAGCACCAACCTTGACTGTTGTTTCCTTTTTTCATTTAGATTTTCAATACAAAATATGCTACCACAGAAAGACAAAACACGATCACTTTCACCACATCTTCCACAGATCACAAACCACGTTCAGGCTTGCAGGTATATATCCACCTTGATCGCGATTGGTACCATGAGAAAACTAGTAGTGCTAAAATGGCACAGTTTTCTGTACTAGTTTTCTATTTTCTTTGTCCTCGGCAATCTATTCGGACTTGCTACATACCCTTGCCAGCTGCCTTCTATCGTCGCCCAAAGTACATTTTTTTAATATCCTCAATTTTTCGGTTTTTTAATAGTAGAACGGAAATATTATTTTAGTTATAATAAAGAACGGTAAAACATCGTCCTAAATGGTAATTTTCTTTGAAAATTTGGAGCCGGTGTTATGAAAATGGCATTTAAGCTACTGTAAATTCGAAATTTGAAGCTCTCTTTCACAGAAAATTCTTGCCTTTTCGAAAAACTTTATTTGAAGTAATTTAACTCACAAATTGGTGGAAATGTGCATATTAACGTGAGAGATCTTCCAAAAAATTACATTCGTATAACTTTAGAAAAAACAAAAAATACCCCAAAATGAACTTTACATGAACCCTTAAAAATACCCCAAAAAGAAACATACTTCTAGATTTTGAAGAAAAAAGAATAGAGAAATATGGCGTTTATTTCATCTCCTACAGTACATTTAGCACTATTCCTACCAAAAGTTTAAAGAAAGAAATTGGAGCCGTTTTTGAAAATATTTGTTTTTCAATTTTTGGAAATTTCCGTGAAAACTATTAAAAGTTTCAAAAAATGTGCATGACCTTAATGAAAGTATTAATTATGCGTAATAAATATAAAATGAAGGAAAACTCTCTATCTTCAATTATCTAGTTGTAGGAACAAAATAAAATTTATACTTTCGAAATTTGTGAAACTTAACTATGAAAATTGGACCTGTTCCACTTCTATAAGTGTATGTTACTCTTCTTTTACAAGAAGTTTTAAAAAAATTAGGAGTTGTTTTTGAGAAAATTTTGAAAATGTCTGGAGAGCTTCATGTAAAGTACTCCCAAATTTTAAAGAATGTTTCTCAAAGCTTCGACACGAGCCAGATGGACAGGGGTTTCTTCAATTTGGAAAAAATTCTACGCCTGGTTTAGCCCGCTAGTAGTGTTCACAGACGGACGGGCAGACAGAGAGATGGATGTTTTGCCGTTAATTGATTTTTCAGTATGAAGGACCCACAAAACAGGGATTCTAGCTACACCACGTGTTATAGCATTTTTTCTTAATTTAGCAATTTCTGGATTTACCTACTTTTGCGTTATCAGGTTCCGGCAATGATTTTTTCTTCCAAACATCCGCTGTTTTACGCGCAGCATTACATAACTTTCCCTAATACTATGTATATTACTCCGTATTAACGGGTGCGGTATATGTATATGTATACGATTTCCAGTATATGTATACGGGAAAGTAAAAAGCAAAATAATGAAGGATAGGCCAGAAAAAATCAAAAATGAGACAAAATGGCAAAAATAGGCACCATAAGCGAAAAGAGACAACCAGACGTGCAATTATGTGATTCCTATTGATAAAAGTCATGAAATAGTAACAAAAAAGGAATTTTGCCAAATTTCCGAGCTCTAATTATCTCATTAGTAGGCTATTTTATGGATTTTACTTTCCTTATAATTTTTTGACGTCTTTTGGGATGATTTTGATTTTGTAAATTGGCTTTCCACGATTCGTTTTTCTATAATCATCATAAAGTATAACTAATTTCTTTGTAATAGATCTATAACAAGTTAGTTCACTGTTTGTGGCATTCAGGGATCTTTAGTGTACCAACATTATACTCCTACATGTTTTTCTTGCTTTACAACAGCAAATTTCTTCCACTTAATGCTTTAAGCAAGGAATGACAGTAAAATTTGCTGCGGAATATTTGTTGGCCTTCCACTCGTATTAAACTACATACAGTATTACAGTAGCTCAATTCCCTATGCATTAAACTTCTCTAACAGGGCGGCGATTGTTCCCTAAACAGGAAGTTCTAACTTTTTCAAT